TAAAATGTGTTGAGAAGTGCAATAATGAAGGAATCTATGGGTCGTCTGAACACTCTCACTTAGGATCAGGTCTCACAAAAGTAAGTGTGTGTTGGATCAGACCTTAGATTATCTAGGCTTTATAAAGGTTTCACCCCAAATAAATTTCAAAATGATTCTTTTTGTTTCAATTTGTATGATTGTGGTCTTTAACCCATAACTGTCACAGACAATTAGTTTATTAATTTATCAGTTGAATAGCTGGCCAGTGATTAATAATTATGAAAGTGATCTTTTGACTTGAAATCCATGATTTTTGGTGCTCATTCTTTTAAGGGCCAGGTCTTGCAAAGTGCCAATCATTTTCTGTAAGATGCAGAGCACCTTTTATTTTCCACTCCGTTAATTAGGGGCTGAAGTGAGTTCAGCACCAGTCAAGTTTGAGCCCGCCAGCAAGCCCTATCCTGAGTTGCTTGAAGTGTTTAGGAGTTTTGCTGGAGTAAAGTCTGGGGGGCAGTCTCCGTTTCAACAATATTGTTCTCTTGAATGAAGCAGGAACACTAGAGTCTACACACTTATGTAAACACACCTTCACATTAAACTAAGTTGGAGAAGGTTTCTTTAAATAAATAACACAATTCTAAGTTGAAGTATAATATACAGACCTTTATGTAGCAAAACTACAAGCACAAGATTTCTTTTTTTTTAAGATGTTTTACAGATCTCTTTATGAATCATTAAGTTTTCTGGAATCCTGAGCAGAATGCGATGGATTTGTTTAAAAAGGTTGCTGATGTTTAGATTTGATTCAGTTCAAAGGGCCACGTCATAAGGAAGAATCAAAGGAAAATAAAGACTGCTACTTATGTACAGCAATAATAAAAATGGAAAGGTATGGGAAGGGTCCAACAATTTGACCATCCACATAAAATCACAAATTCGTTACACCATTTTGAGATTTCACTGCTTGTTGCAACTGAAATTTATTTAAGAGGAAACAATTTTCATTAAAATAGTTCCACAGTTACAAACAGTGGATTAGATGATTTTGTTTTCTGAGAAAAATACATAAATAAATAAATAAAGCAATCCTTCCAAAGAATAGGGTTTCAGGACTCTTTCTATGGTTCCTTTTCTTTTAAGAATACTCAGTTAATTGAAAGGGATAGGTCACACACCGTGCTGTGGGAATTAAACATCATATCTTCAGTGTATGTTATTTTAGCCTTTGCCAAAATAATAACTAGATAGGGTACCTTTCCACTCTTTCAAAAAATCATAACATTTTCCAAAAGAAAATACAATTTTGCATATATCTCTAAGGCAATTTGAACTCTTTCAGTTTCTTTAGTGAGTAAACAAATAAAAATTCCAGAATGGCTCCTGCCCAAAAGGGGAAAAAAGAAACACCTGACAACATTATATTTGCAAACTGTGTCAAACAATGCTATTCTCCCACCAAGCTAATATGCTGCTCTTAAGTTCTCAACTGCTGTTCACAGTAATTAACTAAAACATGAAATATAGATGTGGATATGAACAAGAGAGAAATTAGTATTGGGAAGCTGGCTTTAATAAACCCCTAAAAGATACCATCTGTTTATAAAGCCACCCGGCTCCCCATCATTGCTTTCCAGCATGTATTCCTAATTTGGACCCAGCTGCATTTTTTCTCTTTTTAAAGAACACACTGATACTATAAAGTCTATTTACAGTATATCTGGTCTGAGTGTCTGTTTCAAGTTTTAGTTGTTATGTAAGCACTCAGGGGCAATAACATTTCACTTACAATTGGGAGGTTTTTTTAAACATCAGGTGGACAAAAATGCATTGCTTTCATTATTAGCCTTGACTAATACTTAATCCTCCTTTTCATGAATGCTGATCATATTATCATTCCTCCCTGGAACAGCTGTCTTAGATGCCTAGTGTTCTTGAAGTTATTGGTACTTATTTAGAGTTGATTTTTTTTTGTTTGTCTGTTTGTTCAAAATGTTCTTAAATTACATTGCCAATAGAGCACACTACTTCTGGAGGTTGCAGGTGAGGTGATTTGCAGGTATGAAAAAGAAAAGTAATTCACAGACTGCATTTTCAATCTGCTTTCAAGAAGAAAAGAGAGGAAAAAACCACCATTGATTGTACACTTCTCACAGATAGAGGTCACTAATGGACTGAATTTGAATCAGTGTGGTAGAAGCCACAAACTTATATGAAAGTAATCTAGTGAGAAAAGGAATCCAGTGTGAGATTAAAGACGAGGTAGCAGAGATGATTAAGGAAACTTTCACCTTCACAGAAACAATATTATCTTAAGTATGCCCTCTTTCCAGCTTATTAAACCAAAAGTTGAGAAGTGCAGTTCATAAAAAGCCTGATATAGTGGCATATATGAATTTCTGTGTGGGTTTTCTGGAGTTTGTAAAGTGCAGCACCCCCCCCCCCCAAACACACACATACACACACTACCCTCCCTTTAAGAAGGGATGGACAAGTCAGACCTGATGAGATCCTGCACTTTAGCTATTTGCTATTTTAAGCAAGTAAAGACTAGCACATTCCTGATTCTCGACTGAAACCATAGCCTATGTAATGCAGATTCCAACTTGGAGGGTATAAGGTTGCTTTAGGGAGATACATCTAAATCCTAAATCAAACTATCCAGCAGGCCAGGATATAAATGTGACTTGTAACAGTGCTCAAATTAGATCCAGACCCTCAAAGGCAAACAGATAAAATCACATCAGATGAAATACAGGGTGTGTATGTAAAGAAAAGAGAGGAAGGATGGATCCCTTCTGAACACGGCGTGCATTCCAACACAAGTTCGCTTTCGTGACAGAATTGGATTTTGGAGAACACTGATGAGAGTTTCAATCAGGTAATTTTATCAGCACAATATTGACACGGTGATTGGAAATGCTCCACTCACACAATTTCTGGCCTGCACTGTCACATTTCTTAACAGCCTCACTACCATGTCTGGCTAGAGAATAATTTTTTAAATGGCAAATCTACTACAAATGGAAAAGAAGTTCAATGTCCATGTGCAATGTCCTTTCACAGGCAAAAAGCAGAAGCATATAGCAGACATATTTGGAAACTCTTCCAATATTTCCGTATGGATGCCTCCTCTTCTTTATATATATTATTTCCCAGAGCAAGAGCACCTATAGGATTTTATGATCATACTTCTTTTAAACTTGGAAATGGGAGTTTTTAGAGTACATCTGTTGTATCTTGCTTGGTGAGGCAGGGCCATGCTCCAGTGATAGCACTGCACATGTTGACTCTTCAAGAGATTGAGCGAAAGAGATTTAGAGAGAAACAGAAAGAGATTTATTGGTGCAGTAGCCTTAAATCAATTTGGAAAAATGCCAGAACATTTTCCCTCCTTTTCCTTTCCAAAAATACATACTCCTATCAATGTGTTTCCTTTGGATCCTCTGGCTAAAGGGTGCGTTTGGCAGAACTACAGCAGTCAATGAATGAAGTCCGTGGGAGTTTTGCCTAGGCGAGGACTGTAGGATTGCCGATCCTTGTATTAGATCAGTCTTGAAATCTGAATTGGTTTTATTAGTTTACAAGCACTGAGAAGTTAGATGAAGTAAATAAACCTCTGTGTGTGTGACAGGGAGATACAGAAGTCTGCCTAGGTTTAATAAATATCTCTTCTGCAACCCGCCTCTCCCTTTCTGTTTAGCAAGGGATCTGTATAGCCAAAAAAGCAGCAGCTGAAGAAATCTAATCAGCATCTTCTACACACCATACAGGCTTTTACACGGATTTGTGCCTTGGACTTGGACTTTATGATCTTATTGTAAGCTTTAAACAGATTTCCTTTATTAAAATTAATTAAAAGCTCCTGTTGACTGATTTCCACTCTGACAAGAAGGTGAATGGTTTTTCCCTTAGTTTGCCGCTGATTTTATAATGGGCTTTTATCTCCCACTGGAGAGGTCTCTTCTGCTCTTTGATTTATTTTTTTCTATTTTCCCTTCCTCCTTTCCTTTATTCTTATTTTTCCGCTTTTCATTGATCATCGTCTATATGACTTGGGGCTGCTGAGTACTTGGAACTCTCCAGACAATTCCCTTCCCCACCCCCCCAATTTATGGAACAATTGATAGGGATCAGATGAATTCTGGTGCCATTTACTGTTCCCTTCCCTGCTCTTGCCTGTTCCATTTGGGTTTCTTTAGGCTTGTCATCAGTGAGCCATCTAGTATTTCTTCCAGTCTAAGATTATCCGTTAAAGTTACTGTTTTCCCAATGGATTCCTTTCCCCTCCCCCCCAAAAATCAGGTTGCATCCACCACACACACACACCACTCCAAAATTACAGCTCAAGGGGGACTCTAGAAATCGTGATGTTTCCTTTCAGCTTTTCCTGAAGCTCTGCCAGGAAGAGATCTTGGGGTACGTGGATGTGTGTGTGTGTGTGGGGGGGTGGGGGGAGGGGGTCTTTTGTAGAGATGCTAAGGTGCCACCGGGCTCTAGAGAATCATGAAAATCCCTGGCGCTGCTGAAGCTTCAAGCTTTGCGATCCCTTCCAAATCCACTCGGATTCAGACCGACCAGAGGCCAGCAACGGAGCTGCAATTCACAATCTGGTGAAGAGCCGAGAGACCCTCGGAGCACTTGTCATATACTGTTCCCACATCCGTGCCGCTGCGTGTGCGCGGGTCGGCCGAGAACACGCGCCCGCGCGCGCACACACACACACACACACACACACACACGTACACACACACACACACACACGCGTACAGTTGCCATGGCTGGTGATATTTCTGATACAAAACCTGATCCCGGATCATTAACTTTACCTCCTTCTATTGAGTTGCCGTGGGGAGGGCTGGAGGGGCTGTGAAGCTTCAAAGTGCCGGGAACGGGAATGAGCAGGGACAAGAAGAGAAATGAAATCCCAACTCTACCTGGCAAGCTCTGGGAGTCCTCGTCCGGCACCGATCATAATCCCCCTCTGCGCCTTTTGCCCCCCGCACCAAAACTTTTGCGGCGGCCGCTGCCCCGCGGGGCTGGCGGGGGCTGTCGCCCTTTGCAGTATCCAATGCGATGCAGGCGGGGAGCTGCCGGAGCCCCAGCCCGCCCTGCAGGTCCGCTTCCCCGCAGGCTGGCGCTTGCCTGTGCCGCCTCTCCGGAGCGATCCCTTCTGCTCCTCTCTCCGTCCTCCCCTACGAGGCAGCGGCATCATCCTCCCCCTTGCTCCTCCACCTCCTCCTCCAACGCGCAGCCCAGGGCTCTGGCATCCCCGACGCACTTTCTCTTCTCGCTTCTCTGCCCTCCCTCCCCCGGTTCAGAGAAGAAGTAGCTGGATCGCGCCTGGCAGCTTTCCCTGGAGCCGGAGGAGGAGGCAGGAGGGACCCCGAGAAGTCTCCGGACCCCCCGGGCCGAGCTCTCCGTGGCTCCGGCGGCGCGGGCTGCTCCGCGCTGTAGCGATGCCTCGGATCTGACTATTCCCCGGGAATGTGAGTCGTGCCTTTCCCCCCCGCCCCCCCCCGCTCTCTCTCCTGCCTGCCTGACACCCCAGGGAGATGTTTACAGTAATGAATTCAGTTGATAGCCATCTCTCTCTCCCCCCTCTCCTGGAGTCCCTCCCACATTTCTGGGCTGAAGAATGCTTGGAAGGCAGGGCTGCAACCTAAAGCTTTCCAAGAGGCAAAGTCAGGCGAGGCTTTTAACTCATCCCTGGCTGCCAGCGGCTCTGCGAGTGCGAGCGGCGGCTCCCCGCGGCCGTCCTGCCCCGGGCTCCGGGCTGCGGGGCCGGGCTCACGCGGGGCTGGGAGCTTGCAGCTGCGGCCTGGGGCTCATGGCAGCCCTCTCCCTCGCTAGGGAGCTGTGCAAAAAAAAAAAAAAAAGAGAGAGAGAGAAAGGAGGCAGGGCTGGCAGAGCTGACGCTCAGGGAAGGGTGTCCTCGCCACCCTTCAGTGAAGCCGCTGCCTGGGAGCGAGGTATAAGACCCACCGGGCTCACGCGGGGCTGGGAGCTTGCAGCTGCGGCCTGGGGCTCATGGCAGCCCTCTCCCTCGCTAGGGAGCTGTGCAAAAAAAAAAAAAAAAGAGAGAGAGAGAAAGGAGGCAGGGCTGGCAGAGCTGACGCTCAGGGAAGGGTGTCCTCGCCACCCTTCAGTGAAGCCGCTGCCTGGGAGCGAGGTATAAGACCCATTCAAAGGGGTCTTTGCAAGCTCTGGTCCAAGGGGGGCTTTGAAATCTGCAAGAAAGGTGCCCTTAATAGGAGTCTCCACCAACATGGCGTTATTGCATGTGCAGGGAGCCTCCGATGAACGTCTCTATCTCTCCCCCCACCCCCCTTTTATGATGAACTTTGATCTGGAAAATAACCAGCCCGGTGGTCGGGGGACACCCGCACGAGGCTCGCACTGATGCCCGCGATCGCTCGGGCTGAGCCCGCCGGGGAGACGGAGGGGGCTCAGGGCCCAGCCGGCCTCGCCGGGGACAGGAGCTAATCCCCAGCCTCCGGCCTTCTCCGGAGCCAGGAACACGTTTCTTTTTCATGCACGTATCCTGCACTGTCTGCACTTGCTCCGCAGGGGGGGAAAGAAAGGGAAGAAAGAAAAGAAAAAGCCCTCCCAGCTCAGGAGCGAGTTCCTGCCATGCTCTGACAAGTCCGGATAAATGCTCTGCTCCTTTATTTTGAAGATCACTTGCACAAGAGAATAGGCTTTCCGGAGGGAGACTCTACCTCGTCTCCTTCATTATTCAAGAAGTGCGGGGCATGTTTGTGTGGGTTAAATTATGCCGGAGCAGAGGCGAGAGGGGCGGGGGAGAGGGGAGGCCAACTTGATCGATGCCATGTGTCGAAGCCTCAGGAAAGGCGACTGAAATGCCTCCGGGGGTTGGTGGGTTTTGTTTCTTTCCTTTTCGCCCCTTCAGCTGAATGCGAACTTGACTCTTCCCTTCACCTGGGCCGGCAGAGCGAGATCGCTTGACCTTGGCTCTTAGCCCTTGTTCCGCATTCATTTGGGGTCTGAATTATTCACAGTGTCGAGGTGCCAGGGACACAGCAAAGGGCAGCGCCATGCCCTTTTATTTCCATGCCATTCATAAGAGATGGTTAGGGTGGAAGGGGTGTGTGTGTGTGTGTGTGTGTGTGTGTGTGTCCTGGACGGCTAGGCCCTGTGTGTGTGTG